CTGTGTATCTAGTCAAGATGCTGGTAAGATGATAATATAGTATGGCTCTATACAAGCTAAATAATGATATCCCAGGCTTTTTGATAGTAAAATAATCTCAAAGAATAATAAATTACATTGATTTAGGTGATGTAGGGCAGAATTTTTTTGTGTGATGAGTTGTTACTCAGGCCAGCCACTGCTGCCTGACTCCTTGGATTTTGTCTCTTAGGCTGTATATGGGTTCTTAGGTTTCTCATGCTGTGTGATTTCTCATTCCTTTGAAGCCCCTCCTTCAGACTGGGCATTAGTCTTTTTAGTCACTTTCAGGAAACTCAAGGGAATATAATTATCTTTGAGGCCTTTACTCCTCTGCTTAATATAGCAAATGACGTGAATCTGTTGGGTGTTTTCCGAGGGATATTGAGAGACAGATGTACAGAAGTATAAAGCATTGTACTTCTACAATTTCTTTTTCTGTGAGAAGTTGTTACTCTTTGCTTAAACTGCTAAATTAAGTGCAAGATAATGCATCTCCAGTATTTTTTTGCATCCAGGGGGAGATTACAAAATGGAAAGAAAAGGGAAAAATTAGGCAGGAAAGAAAAGAGCTATGTAGCAGAGAAGAAGAAAAAAGGAGGGAAAAATCTCTCATCCCATGTTAAAAGTGAGGCTGAAAGAGTGGATGGTGGCTTGAAGCCCCATTCCAAATGGACAGAATTTTGATGTGTAAACATTCCTGTCAGTTCCAAATCCAAATAGGATGAAGTGACTAGAGATTGATTATGGGTGAAAATATCTTGCAAGTTAGACATTATAGGAGGAAAAAAATCCCTTATTTTAGGAAAAAATACAAATTTTTTCTAAGCAATGAAATTTTATTCCCTCCAAAACATTTTAAACTGACATTTTGATTAATTTTGTTTCCTTGGTAATGTCAGAATCACTACATGAATTTCCAAATATATCCCATTTCATCCTAGTGGTATTAATAATTTTAATACAGAAAACTGTTTTGGTAAAATTTTTCCAACCAGTTCTAGTTGTAGTTTGTCTCCATGTTATAGGGATAATTTAGCAGAAGATTCTCATGTGCCAAGAACAGAGGAATCCCCAGCCTTTGGGCAAAAACCCTTGTTTTGTTTTGACCGGTCAAAATAAGAGATCAGGAAAAAAAAAAAAGTAGATTTTCCCCCAAATTAATAACTTTTCCTGTCTTTTTTTTGGTTTGGAAATACATCTTTGACTCCCATAGCATATGTTTTTGCATGTGTTTCTTGGCACTCCTGAACGGCAGATCTATTTCTTACATGCTTGCTGCCTTAATTTTACTGGGGAATGAATTTTGTCATGGATATGTGTGCAGAATTCCTGTGACAGCCATAAATTTTCTGTAATATCTTTGTATACATAGTTTCTGTATTAAACTAAGTTTGCTACCTGCCCACCAGCAAAGCCATATGCTAGCATCAAACGTTAATTGCCTATCAGTTGGGTATTTAGTCCTACTCATCTGCTAAATGGATAGTAAGAGAAACTTATACCAAAGTTAATGGAACGTAGTTTCTAGTCCTGTTAAATTGCTTGTCTACCATAGATTTGTTCCATTAGAATCACAACACAAAATGAGTTTTAAATTTCTTTCAGCATTGCAGTCTCCTTAAAATTCTTGTTTGTTTTCCAGTGTAGACTCACAGAAACCTAGAATCACACAGCATGGGGGGTGAAGGGCAGACTCTACCTCAGAACTCATTGAGTCCAACCTCCTCTTCAAAGCAGGTCTAGTTAGAGCAGGCTGCTCAGAACCCCCTATTCCACCTTCTGATGATCCTCATGGTAAACTTCTTTCCTTATGCCATGTTCCCACTTGTGTCTGTTGCCTCTTGTAGTACCTGTGTGCACCTGTGAAGAGAACCTACATCTGCCTTCTCTCTATCATGAGATCTTGTAGTTGCAGACATCAGTAAGGTCTTCCTTTTGTCTTTTCTAGTTTCAGATCTCAGCCTCTTCCTATATGCCACATTCCCCAGCAATCTTGATGGCCCTCTGCTGGACTTGGTTCAGTTAGTCTGTACTTTTCTTTTACTGGTGAACCCAGAACTGGACACCACACTCCAGATGTGGTCTCACAAGTGCTAGATAGAGGAGAAAGATCACTCCCTTTGTTCACCTGGTATCATCAATGCGAATACAGACCAGGATGTGGCTGGCTGGCTTTGCCACAAAGACACACTGCTGAGTCTTGTTGAATGAAGTTCCTCCATCCTAGGTGCAGGAGTTTACATTTGCTTTTATGAAGTTTGTAAGCCCATTTTTCCAGCCTTTAGAGGTTCCTCCTAATAGCAGACATGCCCTCCAGAGGGGGTCAGCAGATCCCTACCCCTAATTTGGCGTTTGCAAACTTGCTGGAAGTGCGTCCAATCAGATCATCCAGGCTGTTAGTAAAGATGGGAAGCAGTGTCAGATATTGGGAATACTTGGTGGATCTTAAGTCTATAAAAGGCACTTGAAAAAATTAGCATTTCTCAGGATTGTGCTAACACCCTGGATGTTGGACTGTGGTCCTGCTACAGAAAGGTGGTGTTGGTGCCTCTGATGTTAATGATAGGAGGACCAAGCTTTAGTGCTTAGAGATATTTAGCATTCAATGTTGACTACTCCATGAGGACTAGAGTGAGTATTAGTAAGTATGGATCATAGTCAAAGCAAAGAAGATGGAAAATGTGTAATCAATATTGTGGTCTGATAGCTGAGGGTCTTCATCTACATCCTCTTAACTAGCATCTTATACATATAGTTCATGACAACTGTGCCCAGCCAAGAACAAGGTTTCAAAGATTTATACCTAAGGTTGACTTTGCACTTCAAAAGCACTTGGAGGAGTAGTGAAGCATGTTCTAAAGTCATCTAAGGAACAAAGTTTAAACAAAATATTGTTAAATTCATATGCAAGGAGCAAAAAATACCCCTATTAGACAAAAAAAACCTAAGAGTTGAAGGGTAAAGAGGGCTTATGGAGACAAAGGGACGGAAATAGGTTTAGTTGCTGCCTGGTTTGGAATGAAAGGAAAAAAACCTGAGCTGCAAACTCATCAAAAACACAGTTATTAATTGAAAAGCTGATGGACCTGTAACTACAGCAGTGCTTCTGGCCGCTACTATAAGAAATGTAACTGTACATTTAGAGTAATTTGCTAATTTGCCTAAGTAACACCCACAGACAGCAACATGACATAAATACATTAGTGAAAGCAACAACTGTAACCAGCTCATACAGGTTCTTGGCTGCTAGATGGATGGATCAGATGAGCTGGAAAAGATTTACAAAACAGAATAGAAATGGAATTGTTAACAATATTGCAGCATACAGGATTTCTTTGTTTTTCTGTTTCCTAAGAATGCTTTATGGCCTGTAGGTTCCCACACATACTGTGGTATGTAACATTTTTTACTTGTGTCTCTAGGTGTGCACACACCCAGAAAGCTTATAGGGATGGAGTACACATCTGTAAGTTGCTTAAGCATTTCAGAAGCAAAAAGGACAAAATTTACATCTCAAGTAGTCTTTTAGGTAAATTATTGAATCTCCAACAGTCAACGTGTAATCAGAAATCTATGAAGAGAGTTTCTGTTTATACGTATTCTAAAGGCACACACATACTTGATCCACAGAAAAGACTGGAACCTGTACAATGTTTTCCTACTACAGGTGTCATAAGTGTCTGAAACATATACTTTAGAGCTACCCAGATCTTCTTATTTAGCAAATAATGATTTCAGCCATGTAGCATCTCCTCTGGGCTAGTGCTGTTCTCTGTTTTCCATTTCCATATGTTTTGTCTGTTTCTGAATCACACTGTTGCATTTTATTCTTAAGTCTGACTCGTGCCAACTTTTGCCACTGCTTATTGACTGGTGTTTTATATTCTCTAAGTATCCTACCTCTAGGTTAGGCTTGGAGTCATCACTAAAGGTTTCTGTTGCTGTTATGCAAGATGGGTCTCATTTTCAAGAAAATACTCCCTTCTGCTCCCAATCTCCTGTTCTGACTGTCCTCATCCTGATTCAAATTAATAGAACAGAAGCAAAGCTAATGAATGCAGCTTTACACAGTTTCTGTCTTTGTTTCCTCCCAGATATACTAAGGTTTCTGTTGAGCTTTTTGTGACAGGTGATGCCTGCTCTCAAGGGTAGAATCCAGCTGATAACCAAATGTGGAGTCAGGTGGAAAGTTTCCTTTGCAGTGCTGCTCTCAGGAATAGCCCACGTGTGTGGGTATACAGATTCTTGCCTTCAGCAGGAGGCTGTTGTAAGGTTTCTCACTAAGTACCGGTTGCAAAATATTCTTGAGCATGAGTCACTTTAAATTATAGTCCATGGATCTAAGGAAGTCACTGAGAAAATGGAGCAGGAAAAAACATGGGATTGAGGCAAACTGCGAGACTTCTCTGTGGGATGTGGAGTTTTGACAGCTAAACCCAATCCCTGTCTGGCTTGAAGGCTTGAACTTAATGTCAGAGTAAAGAGGGCAGCAGACCACTCTGGCTGACCCAAGATCTGACTCTGTAAGACCTCATCAGTACAAGCCAATAAAGACCACAGCTCTGGGGGAACAGAGCTGACATTATTATTTTCTCAAGCGTTACGGCCAGTCTTTTTTGAACCCTAATTTCTGTCAAAGTTATCGTCACTGTCACAGTAAGTGATACTTGCAGCACAAATGGCAATTAACTAGAAGTAAATAGTAGAGCAGAAGTCTGCAGATGGGTTTTTAAGGTTGATGAGTTGATTGTAGTTTCAACACATTAATGCTAAGCGTGCTAAATCATAGGGTGCCCTGAAAAAGACAGTAATGTCATTTACCTGAAACCACGAGGAATTACTGTAACATGGTAAGGATACATTCAGTTGTTTCACATGTGATCATATTATAGGAATTGATAATGCTTTGTGAGTCTGTCTCTTTGCTTTCATCAGATTTTCCATAAAACAACTAATTTGTTTCTTTTTCACTGTTTTAGGTAGCCTGCCCTATGAATACAAGATTGTGATAGCAGGAAATCATGAATTGACCTTTGATCAGGAATTCATGGCTGATTTAATCAAGCAGGACTTTTACTATTTCCCCTCTGTTTCTAAGCTGAAACCAGAGAGCTATGAAAATGTACAGTCTCTTCTAACAAACTGCATCTATCTTCAAGACTCTGAAGTGACAGTGAGGGGATTCAGAATATATGGCTCCCCTTGGTAAGTAGGTTTTTAAGCATATATAAAAAATACTGTTGATTGCTATCACATCAGCCATTTTGTATGCATCAGCTATATTTGGATTGCTGTGTTAGGAAGAAAAGTAATACACATTTTGATAAAGTTTTTGTGTTTTCTTGTAATGGATCATTCCTGTGACAAAATAATATACTTGTGTTATGGAGATTGTAACCAAATAATGATGGGAAAAAGATAGTGTACTCTTTAAACTCTCAGCAAGAAGCAGTTCTCTAACATAGGCCATGCAGGGTTTTTTGTGTCATAAAGTATTATTTCTGTACTTTGTGAATTTATAAATTATAGGTTACTTTTATTGCACGAGTACATTCTTTTGACAATTTCCATCCTCCAGATAATATTTAAGGTTCATTAGTGTATACAGGAGTTATTTAATGCAGCAAGCTTGTTTCAGTATTTGCTTAGGCTTTTTTTTTTTTAATATCCCTCAGAATCTTAGTTTTTTAAAATAGAGCAATCCTTTCCTCAATGTACAGTTGAGCTTCTAAACTGAAGTTAATAAATTAGTGAACATTCAGAACTCCTTGACAGTATAGGAGACAAATGGGCTCTGGCTTCCTGACCTTCACCTTGGACCTTGTATGTGCGGCTGTTGGGTCTCTTGCTTATGTTGCATTACTGCTATTTTATTTCTACTAACAGGACTGTAAAGTATGAGATTCAGTATCCATTTAAAATAAGGAAAAATATATTTTAAAAGGCAGGTTTTTAAGGGGATCTGTTATTCTTCCTTTTAAAATCATATCAGGCTGGAATGTAGCAAGCAGGTTGTCAAACCTGATGCATACACCCCAATGTGAATTTTCAGCGTGAATAAACTGTGAAACATAATAGATTCTTTTATAAAAAAACAACAAAAAACAAACACAAAAAAAACCCTCCAAAAATTGGCATTTTCCCATTTGGTTACTTGAGATGGATGTTTACTTTCTCTGAGCTTATTATTCTACATTTGTCTACATTAAATAGCTTCCCTCTTAAAGGCATCCTTCTCTCTCTCCCTCTTATATCTCCAGATCTTCCTGGGTTTTTTCAGCGTACCCACCTGCTGTGTTGTAGTTCATCTTCCTCTTGTGTCTACTGTGCATTCAATCAATGTACAATTTACTTCATTTTCCAAATTATTAGGGAAGATATTAGATGGTATCAGTCCCAATATTAACTTCTGAGAAATGCCACTTGGCATCTCTTCCCGTTTTGATGTTCAACTGTAAATACTGTAATTATGCTCTGTTTACAATATTTCTGGCAACTTCATCTCTTCATTGCAATATCCTTAACCAGGAACCATATTTCCAGTGTCAGTAGTAATTTTCCAGGCAGAAAAGTACCAAAAGTCTCATTAAAGTCTAGATAAATTAAATTAAAGCAAAACACTATCTATGAAGTAGCACTATGTAGAGACTAAAGGAAATTACTTGAACTATCTGTGTATGATAAGATCTGTACAAATCTGTTGAGCAAACTTTTGTCCATCCACTAACCCATAAATAATGTTTCTGTAAAATCATCTGCCACATTGCCTTTGTGCACTAATCCTGTCATTTTGCACAAGTTGTGTGGCATGACCTATTCTTCATGAAAAAGATTGCTTTCCATCTTTACACATCTTCAGGTTATATCTAAACTTCCCCACTACGTTTCATAGTGTTGCTAACTCATCTCCCACCCCCTTATGGTCCTGGAAGAAGAGTGTTGTAAGGTCCTTTGAAGATCTTTGCTAACTTAAGGTGGGAGCAAGTCTCAGTGGAAGTCTTCCAGGCAAACTATTTTATTTGTTTGCTATTATGCAATGCTGAATGGAGTTTCCATGCTAACTGATGCCACATCTGGTGGAAACAGCAGCAACAATAATAGCAATAATAAGTTGCTCTTCATTAATCCATCAGAACAGGAGATGCAGAAGTAAGAAATTCACATCAGCCAGCCCACAAGCCAGAAAACTTAGGAAGAGAAAGAGCTACTTTGTGTGGGCTAAACTAGCTTCCTGCTAGATTGAAGGCTGTAGTACAAGTCTGTGCCTACTGATTGCTACTGTTCTTTAGCATTTCTTTTTGATTCTATAATTCACTCACCCTGAAAAGAGGTTTCTCATAGCCTCTCTGGGAAATCAATCTCATTTTCTATTTGTGTGATAGTAATACAGTCTCTAAAAACCTATGGAACTCTCAACTTCCCATGCTGAATCTCTTTTTGCCCTTGCATCATGAAGCCAGTTCTTTAGAAAATGCTTATGAAGTGGAAAATTTAAATTCCTTTAAGATCTCAGAACTCAATGAGAAAACTAAATTTCATGCATTTGCTTGTTTAGTATCCTAAAATAATTTTCTTTTCCAGCCTTGAAAATATGCACCTAGCTTTTTGAATGGATTTGTTGAATTGGAGAACTCCCAATTACAGCTTATGTTTGTTGTTCATACATGACTATTTAATGAGAAGGTGAGCTATCTGGAAATTAAGACTAGGGCCACAGATTCTGCCTTTACATTTCTGGTTACAGTCCTCACCTTCTGTCTTACTTCACCCTTTGTAAAAATAAGAACAAGCTAGAGATATCCCTCAATAGTTTCGAAGTACTTTGAGAATGCTGGAGTAAGGTCTGAGTGAATGCCAACAAGCATTAGCTTAGTGTGTTTGCCTGTAGCCATCTGCATTTATGTATATGACCTGTCCACAATTAGATTGTATTTCTGCTTAAGATGTTTTAGTTGCAAAGTAACCATGAGAGCTTGATTGGCTTGCATAACATGCCAGTCCCTAAGGCATTTTACATATGTACCATTTGAGTGTGGTTAAATATGTTCAGTAGCACTTGAGTATTTTGACCTCTGTAATTATCTAAAACCAATTTGGTAAGAAACCAATGCTGTAACTCTCCTGGGCTCCAAGGGCAAAATTTCAAGTACCAGATTGAGCCTCTACTCACTAACGGAAATTTAACTGCCTTAAATGTTAATTAAGTTAGTGTTATCATCGAGCAGGGAGCAGCCATTTTGAAATGCAAGCTACAAAGCATAAAAGCTGCTATTTAGGAATTAGTATTTACAACACCAGTAAATTGGACCATGGATTATCAGTAGAGATGATGAAGGAGTATAAAAACATTAGATGCTTCATGAGAAGCTTGGGAGCACCAAGATGTTACATGTATTCAGACCAATCTTGAGTTTTATGGGTGGCTTTGTTTGGCCCAGCAGGCTGGTGTTTTTGACAGTGCACATGGTTTTGACAACCATGCAGTGTTGGTTGTCAGATCTAGGTGAATAGGGAACCCGTAAGAAGGCAACATGCTTGCTTCTAGTGTAGCCCTGATGCTGGGAGTCATTGTGGTTTTTTTCCCATATGAAGTCTGCAGCCTGTGAATTTTTTTCATAAAAAGCTAGGCACAGGAAGATGTACTCTGGTTTCATCCATGCAAATGCCAGCACGTGGGCAGAACACATTCACAGACCTGGAAGCAATCTTCTGTAGTGAATAGCCATAGTTCCTATGAAATCAAAGACTTGGGCTCCTTAAGAGCATTTACTGGAAACTGGAAAGCTTCTGGTTGGAAAGTACTTTTAAACACCCATTTAAGCAGTACAATCTGTACTGCTATGATGAGAAGTCAAACTTTTTGTCAGATAGAATAACTCAAATAATTCAATAACTCTGTATAACGTGCTTTTGACTGCTAAGCATTGCTAAAGAGGAAGCCATTTTCCAGGGGTGTTTATTTTTCAGTAACATTCAAAATCATAAGTAAAAGTAGAGCAAGCAGGAACACCAGAGAGGTGGTAGAGAATCCATCCTTAGGTGTTTTCAGTAATTGGCTACACAGTTGTGGCTGACCAGATCTAATGGTGGTGAGTGGTAGGTTCGACTTAGAATCTCCAGAGGTCCCTTTTGAACAGTATTTCTGTGTTTCTGTCAATCTCATGATGGAGCAAGAGGTAGGTGTCTGTGTTTATACCTGAAATGAACAGGTACCAACAAAGCCTTGCAATAGGCATCTTTGCTCTTGATATCCAATTCCCTACAAGCAGTAGATAGTCCCAACAGGAGGTTTGGAAGTCAGGCAGCCGAGGTAGTAGTGAACATTTGAATTTGGATTTGAAGCAGAAGGTCTTTCCTGTGTTATCAGACTGGTTATTATCTTTATGATTCTGTCATTCATGGAACCATATTCATAAATGATTAGTGAGCATTTAAGTTACAGTTTTCCAACCTTCGGTTGTAGTTCATTACTCTCACAATGTGTTATTATTTTGCAGGTAAGAGGTTTAGTGTGGGCTACAGATGGAATGAAGATAGGCTATGCAACTCACTTGTGCTTCTGCACTGCTAAAGATTTTAACTGCACAATTACACACTGTGCACAAAAAAACCCTGATGTGCAGTGCACAAGATCTGCCACGCTTGTTGAATGAGTGACCTATGTATTTCTTCTTTTATGGTCATTATTCAGAATTGTCATGTAAAAATACATGCCTATAAAGGTGCACATGCATTTTTATGTTAGTGTGAGCACACCTCTCTAAGGTGCATATGTGCAAGTGTGATCCTGAGTGTTGCTATGTCTGTTCTCTGCTTGCCCAAGTTTCCAGTAGTTGACTCTACCCCACTACATGTTTTTTCCAATGAGTTTTTTACAAGTCAATGAGTAAGTAACTTGGCTGTCTGTTCTCCTGTTGCATGCAATAACTGATGGTAAGACATTAAGTCTAATGAACTGACCCCTTATCAAGAATCAGCAGCTCTTTGTGTCTGGCAAAGGTTATACTGGCTGTTGCCCAAAGTCCAATATTGCACCCTTCCCTCAAATTTATAGAAAATACGTGTATGTGCAGAAGAACAGGTACTGTGTGTGTGTGCTCTGATCTTGTGGAAAGTGGCAGGAATTCCAGTGTCATCTTCTATTAAAAGGTGGATTACTGTGCCTTAATGTAAGAGTACACATTTTACTTCACATAGCAAGAGAA